GTGAAATGAACATCCTGTGTTTATTGCTTCTCTATCCTCCTACTAAATTTTGCCAATTAGATGTAGAAGGTCATAGGAAGACTCTCAGCACATTTACAGGAGTAATTGTACTGCGAGCAATCCAATTATTTTTAACTGCCTCCGTGATGCTATTATTCTTTATGGAAATCTCCACTGCCTAAGTTTCATTTAGGAGATGGCGGATACTGCTTCCTGTTTGCTTCCTTCCTCTCGGCCCACTAAGTCTGGAATGTGGTCCGGTCAGGATACAGTTCAAGGCATACTGTCTTGCTGCTGATTTCTCTAAGCTAAGCTCATTGGTGGTGTAGCTGTACAGAATAATGCCTAAGAGATCAGAAAATGGTGAATTATTCCAAGTGTTTTCTAAATCAGCAACATAAGATGAGAAATCTATACCAGTTGTATATAATTCAACTCTTTGAGTACTGTTTGAAGAGGAATGATATTTAGCAAGGGGCTTTCATTTGCTAAATTTTTGCAGAAAATAATCAGTGTCAGTCCCTTTGGTTCTTTTTCTCCTAGTGACCTCTGTTCTAAATTATCAAAAGAAGCCATAAGAAACTCAATGCATGCTGTGACTTGTGTGTCACTCTGGGGGTCCATGTATTACAATGTAATTCCCACTGTAAGATAAGAAGACCCCTGAAATGCAATCCAGGGCTTGTATTTGGAAGTGGAACCTTTGGAAAGTGACTAGGATGATATAAGGTCATGGGTGGAGGGGATGTAATTACATAGTGAAAGCTTTTTGAGAAGTGAGAGGCCAGAGCACCCACACAGATGCACACATACTTTCCCTGTCTGTTGCCATGTTACCTTGGGCTACCTGATGCGTCTGCCAGCAAGAAGGCTCCCTCCTAGCCAGGCATCTTGCTGCATGCCTGTAATCCCAGCACTCTAGAAGGATTAGGCAGGAGAATCACAAGTTCAAACCTAGCCATAGCAATTTAGCAACATAATGAGACCTTATCTCAAAATACAAAGAAATAGAAGCACTGAGGATGTGGGTAAAGAGCAAGGCCCTTGGTTCAGTCTTCAGGACCACACACAGATGTGAGTTCACATGCATGCGTACACACACACACACACACACGCACTCACACCACAAAAAGCAGAAGGCCATCATCAGATATGGGCCTTTGATCTCCAAAGTGTGAGCTATGTGAACCTCTGTTCTGTATGTCACTCATCCTCAAGTGTTTACAGTAATCCAAAACAGATTTGTATATAGTGCTAGTTAGGAAAATGATGCTATTCTGTACTAAGAAAAAAGTAAAGAATATGTTTTTCTCTTTTATAATCATAAAAAATATAGTTTAAACATTGAACTTTTATTCTGTCATTTGGAATTATAATGGAAATATTTATCTTTATTTCCAAGTAATTGACAAAAAGAAACATTTGCTTAGAGGTGACTGAAAAATAGCAAAAATATATTATGCTAATATTTATGTGAAACCATAGAGTTAAAGCAATTGATACCATTTTTTGTTTTTGGTACTGGGGATCAAACTCTGGACCTTGCACTTGTGAGGGAGGCAGTGGAACCACTGAGGCAAATCCCTGGCTGATTGATATCATTTTAACTTTGCAAATATGATTTTTATTTTCAAGCAGTACATTGAGCACTATATAAATATATGGCACACAATCTAGATGTGTATACTATACTGGGCACATAATTTTATCACCTGCAAAACTGCTGGTGATACAAAGCAGAAAATTGTGTCAAATCTTAAAATCAAGCTGTTTGATATTCTTCCTTTTTAACTTTGGAATAAAGACATAACTTAGCTCTTAGCTGAACTGAATAAGTAGTTTCCACTAATACAGAAAACCAAAGCATGTATTTCACAGTGAGTTAATGATGTGACTTAAGTACTGCGCAGCAGCTCGCAGTTGTCACCATATAGAGGGATTTAGGTCCATCTAAATTAAAATGCAGGTCAGTTTTCATCACATGTTCTATGACATCTAATTGGCCTATATCCTACAACTGCATCCAGGAGACTAGCAGATTTAGTTACCTCAGGGTATATTTTACAAATAATTTAGCTTTTTATGGTTCACCAGGAAGTCAAATTGCTTAAAATGCAAAGCATTATAGGTCCTGGTGAGTGATTGATAACATTTGCAGTGAAAATGGTTCAGGTTAAAATGACTGAGGTTATTGTGTGTGGTATAAGTGGTTAAGACCTTGGTCCTGTTTGAAAGATTGTTTTTGTTGCTGTCAATATACAGTTATTTGCAAGGAAATGCCAAGCACTGAACACTTTCTGCTTTATCCTCATGCAAAGATCGGGTGGCCACTTTGTCACATAAAGTTCCTCATTTCAAAGTCCAATTTTCTTAGGTAAAATCAGTAATCCTTAGCTGATTCTTCAAACAGGTAGACTCTCCCCCGCCAGTCAACAAAATGACTCACAGGTTGCAATTTCATAATCTTTGTAATTTGATATAAAGAAAAAAGTGAACACCACCTGGGTTTTTCTAATGACTGAGCTTTTCACCGGATGTGCTGGTTCATAGGCCCTCTTGATGCTGAGATTGCACACAGAGCAAGTCATAGCCCTGCGGATAGTCACAGGCCTTGACTCCGCAGGCATCGTGCACTCAGCTTGTGCTGAGGAAAGCTGCGGGAGCAGCTACAGAAATTTACCTTTATTATCATTTTATGCAACACACGCATACCATGATGTATTACACAGTGCAGCCTTTAAGAGGTGTCAAGGAAAATTATCTTGGACCTTCATATTAAAAAATCCGACTATAATCACTTTTCATTTTCAGATGGGCTATATTTCTCTCTTTAGTTTCTAGTAAGCCTAAACCTTAACTTCTACTTATGACTAATGACATGTTAAGGCTTTCTGTTTCTAAAAATCTGGGCAATTGCTTCAATTGATTTTGTCTTTAAATTAATACTTTATTTTTTATTGTTGTCACTGGGCTTTTTCTCATCAACAGCTTTCCCTTAAAGTGGCCAGTAGTTGTCCAAAAATAAATATTAATCTAGAATGAGGAATTTTTACTATTTTCTATTATTTCCTCTGCTTGTTAACACCATTCTAATAATTTATGCTTCAAAGTAATCACTAGAACTTTCATCTCATTGTGAGTTTGGTCAGCTACCTTCTCTATAATTAGGAAGCAAATGCATAAAATATCATAGCTATCCAAGCCAAGATTCTTAGTTTGGTCAGTGAACAAAAATAAGACAAATGCTGTGCCAGGAGCCGTGACACAGGCTGGACCGTTAAAGGAACAAGGGTCCCGTCAGTGTCTCGGTACAGAGGAGAAGGAGGAGATGGGGCATGAGCAGGCTGAGTGACAGGGACAACTGTATCACACCCTCAGGGGTGGGGGTCGTGTCCAGGAGGGACACAAACTACACTGCAATCCCAGACCAGCTCAGGAAGGTTGTTCTGGGGACGGTGGGGTAGCTGGGTCCTGGACCAGCATTTTTGTTTGTTTGTTTGTTTGTTCTGGTACTGGGGATTGAACTCTGGTCCTTGCGCTTGCAAGGCAGGCCACTGAACTGCTGAGCTAAATCTCCAGCCCCCTGGACCAGCATTTTTATAATCTAGAAAGGTTCTGCTCGCTCTTCCAAACACTTACGGTAAATGAAGCATAACTCCCTGACTTCAAACTGTACCCTCTGCAGCTTCAGTGCGCGAAGGTTGTATAGAAAAGTCACATTAATTAAACCAAAGTGAGAAGGTCTGCATTTATTAGTTCAGTCATTTTTATTTCCTGCAACAAATTTTAACAACAGGAAGCAGACATTGTACAAAGAGCACAGAAAGTATTTCCAACTTTTTCTCTTTATTATCTGGCATAGATATGGATAATATTATGATACATTCTATATTGATGTTTCTATATTTTGGCATATTATTTCCGGCAAGAATACTATGGACATTATAAGTAATCTGTCATCAGTTATCAATTAATAACATACAATATTTCCCTTTATTCTTAGAATGACCACCTTCTAAGCTAAACTGTTTTAGAAGCATTAGATTACATTTTTCAAAAATGTTTTTTTTAGGCTTAAAAAGCAAATAAACAAATTTAAACTTTGTAGATGCAGGTAGAAGGCTCAGAAATGTCAGGTTGAAGAATTTTGATTGTATTTAACAGCCAGAAGGAAAATTTTAGAAATAGCTTCTTTTATATGCATACAAAGGTCATTTTTAAATATTATTTGAATATATGGTGCTTCTGTACTCTATGTATTAGCTTAGAGGGAAAGTATTGAGCAGTTTATTGATACATGTACAGTTTTTTTTTTTTTTTGGTTTGTTTGTTTGTTTTTTTGTACCGGGGATTGAACTCAGAACCTTGTGCTTTCAAGGCAGGTAATGGAACCACTGAGCTAAATCCCCAGCCCGACACATGTACAATTTAACTTCTCAACTTTCTTTGGTATATTGAATTTTATCTTTCTCTTTTCACCTATATAAAAGCAGCAGTAAAACTTGGAAACAATATTCTATTTGTGCAATATTTAATTTTTAGTTTATTTTAATATACGTCCTAGTTTTAAGATAAAATTTGAATCAAATTAATTAATTAGTGAACATTTGGTGGAGATCATGTTTTAACATTTTACATTTCAAACACACGTAACTATAATTTAGTGATTTTATTTGTGCAGTTTCCTCAGCTGAGACCATAGATCTCCTACATCCATTTTCTTCTTGGCAGAATATTTTACCTAACTTACATTTCTTGTATGAGAAGCCTTGTGTTCTTGTAGTTTCTTACTGATTCCATTAACAGTAATTACTATTTGTCATACTCTCAAAGAAATTGAACTTCCTATTCCTTAAAATATAATTCCGTAAGCGATAGTAATCCAATGGGAAGGGAGAACGTATGCAGCTTTCAGTTCCGGCATAAAACAACCACTTGTTGACTTCCTGCTAAATTGTCTGTGTTCATCACAATACATCCAGTGTCACTCCTGAAAGCGTGAAACCCAAGGCGCTAAGTGGGGACTGTTACCAATGTACACCAGAGAATGTTTATTCAGAACGGCAGGGCCAGGTTGTTCTCCATGCTGGATATAAACAAAAAATCATTATCTCCCAATTAACATGAAATTAAAAAAAAATAACAGGGCTTCTCAACATTGAGTCCTAGGACCTCTGGCATCATCTTCACCTGGGGAGTAGTTCAAGACAGAAATCCAGAGCTACGAGTCACACATCCATCCAGATGATTGCAGTGTGCGCTACAAGTAGAAAAGGTCTGGAGAGTTCCTTTCCCTTTATTTTCACACAGAGCGAAGATGTGAGTGAGAGAAACTGTGTCCATCTCCTAACACACTGGGCTGCTTCCTTGCCTGTCACCCACGGGTTGGAAAGCTTCTCCAGCACTGGCCTTCCGTCCATCCACAGGCCCGGACAGTGGCTATCACCTGCTCTGCGGCATTGTTTCTGGTGAATATCACTGCGCTTTGGAGCTTACCTCTGAAAGAGCAGAGATAACACCAATAATGGACACAAAGACTGTATAAGTACAAAAATATAATGAAGAGTAGAAATAGATGTGTTCTTCCAGATTTTGTGCCTTAGGAATGTCTTACCGCTGCTTGTCATTATAATCTATTACAAAATCTGCGCCAAAGATGCAGTATTTATCCTGTGGGGATATTTGTAAATGATCTCATCACCATTAGGCTAGTGTTTGTCTATACAGTGTAGGTTGATTATATATGTGTTTTCATTTATAGTGTGGTATATAAAATGTTCACACAATATGTATATGAGTATTTTGAAATACTTTTACAAGGATTGTTCCTTTTGTTCAAATGATAGAATTTAAGTTTTTAAAATACGAATGCTCATTCAGGGAAAAAAGCCAATACCTACACAAGTTGAATGTGTGAAAATAACATTTTTATTTTTACTTAGTTTTCCCATTAAGTTTATTGGTACATTTAAAACAAACAATGCAATTTCATTAATCATTGGGATCTTGTACCTTTACATGATGAATCTTGGTTCTTATTTTTTCCCCATACCCCTGCCCTCTCTTCACCCTGTTCACCCTTTCCTATTTACAAAGACTTTGTTTCCATTTTTTCATAGTTTTTCTTTTCCCTTATTTCTTCCCCCCCTTCCAGCCTTCCCTTTAGCCATTTTCTTCCTATTTCACATTCTTAATTGTATCATTTGAACCTTATTTACACTTTAGTTTTTCACACCAGAGTATTTACTCAAGTGTGTCCTATTTATTTCACTTGAGTATAGCCTCAATGTGTATCCCTTTAGCTATAAATGTCTCTAGTTTCTCATTCTTTATTACTGAGTAGTACTCTATTTTATAAAAAAACAAAACAAACAAACAAATAAACAAAAAACATCTTTATCCAGTCTCCAGTTGATGGGCATTTGGGTTATTTCCAAGTTATTACAAACTGTGCCGTTATAAATATGGGTGCACATATATTACTGTGGTATGATTCTTTTCATTCTTTTGGAAAGATATCCAGTAGAGGAATAGCTGGGTCAAATGGGACCTCTAATCCTAGTTCTTTGAGGTATCTTCATATTGATTTCCACAGTGGTCCCACAAGTCTGCACTCCCACCAACAATGGAGAAGCGTTCCTTTTTCCCATAGCCCTGCCAGCATTTACTATTGGTTGATTTCTTGTAGCAGCTATTCTTTCTGGGGTAAGGTGGAAACTCAGTGTTGTTTTCATCTGCATCTCTTGAATGACCAGTGATTTTTTTTCATATATTTATTTGCTGCTTTTACTTGTTAGTCTGATAAATATCTGTTCATTTCAGATGCCCATGTTTGGACTGGGTCTTTATATTTTTTTGGGGGGGTCTGATTTGTTTGAGTTCTTTATATATTCTAGATAGTAGTCCTTTGTCTGAGGAGTAGCTAGTAGAAATTTTTTCCCACATTGTAGGTTGTCTCTTAGCTCTTTTGGTGGTTTAGTTTGCACTGCAAAAAATTTTTAATACAATGAGATCCCAGTTGTTGATTCTTTGTGCAAGTTCTTGTGCTGCTAAGGATTTGTTCATAAAGTCTTATCCTATGCCAATGTCTTCGAGAGTTCCACTTAATTTACTTTCCAGTAAGTTTAGTGTTTCTGTTTTGATATTTAGATCTTTAATCCACTTGGATTTTAGTTTAGTGTATGGTGAAAGATAAGTACCTAGTTTTAATCTTTGGCAAGTTGAAAGCCAGTTTTTCCAACACCATTTATTAAAGAGGCTATCTTTCCTCAGAAAGTTATTTTATTTTATTTATTTTTTTTTTTGGTACCAGGGATCAAATTGGGGCCCTTGTGCTTACAAGGCAGGTGTCAGAATCACTGAGCTAAATCCCTGGTCATATTTTTGAAGTCGGCAATTGAGTTATACTAATATTAATTCACATGCTTCATTTTTAACATAATTTAAAAACCCAAGTGACCAACTTTCTCACTTGGCTCCCAGTCTGCTAACTTTTACTTTTCTTGTCCCTGAGACAAAACACCCAACATCCAAAGTTAAAGGGGAAAAGCTTTATTGTAGTTCATAGTCCCTACAGGTTTCATTCCATGTTGGCCGTCTCCATGTTGGTAGAGTTGGATGACAGAGGAGCATCACAGAGGAGAAACAGTCCATGGCAGGCAGAAGGCAGAAAAGCAGAGAAGGAGGAGCAGCAGCAACCAAACCTCCCTTTACATTTCCTCCAGGCTACCTGCCCTTTGGACGGTGCCACTCACACCCAGGGTGGGACATGCTTAAACCCAGCCTCACAATCCTAAATTCAGCCACCTCTGAAAAACACCCCCTATGACCACATGAGGCTTTGGCCATAACAAATAACATATTTTTAAATCTGCAACTAAGTAATATCTATAATACTAATTCATGTGCTTCATTCTTAACATAATCTAAAAACTGATATGACTAACTTTGCAAATATCTTCTCACTTGACTCCTGGACTGCTAACTTTTTCAGGGCTTTGATGAGAGTATGCACAGAAGGACTTGGACAATTTCACATACGCACAAGAAGAAAATGGTTCATCTTAATTATGTACTTAGAGGTTTTCCCACTCAGACTCTAATACTATTCAAAATGCAACTGCTCATCCTTGTCATTAAAAAAATTGTCATTTAGCTCAGCGGTTCGGTGGCCTGCCTAGCAAGCACAAAGACCCGAGTTCAATCCCCAGTACCAAAATTAAACAAAACAAAACAAAAACAAAAACAAAAAAAATTGTCATTTACAAAAAATGGGAGTCAACACTAACTGAAGTACAACTAGTTATGACATGCAACATCAGTTCTGTCCTTAACCTTCACAAGGTCAGGAGAGGAGCAGATGCACAGACCCAGATTTTGTAAGTCTAAACATTTAAGTATTACACAAAATTCAAACTAACAAGGCTCTGGGTATAGCTCAGTAGCAAAAGCTTACTTATCATGCACAAGGCCCTGGCCCCTTACTCCCAGAACTGCAAAAACAAAGAAAATGAATGAATAGTAAAATATGTTCTGATTTATTCTGAAAAGAAAGGCACTCATCACAATCAGATGGAGGGACAGAATTTATTGCCTAACTATGCTCTTTTTTACCCCTGGCTCAATTCAACACTGCCTCAACACTGCAGCCTGAATTTGAAAAACTCTCCAAAATTTCCACGGACAACCTCCTTTAGGTCAACACTTAGAACTAAGACCTACAATGACTATATAATTCACTGCAAGAATTATACCTGTGCACACCTGGAAAATAGACTGATTCAGAGATGGGATTCCAGGGCACAGGAACCACTGCCCCAGCCTGGAAGATGATGGCCCAGAGACACCTCCCTGCATGTGGAGAGATGACCAAAGGACACCAGAGGGCTACTGTCTCACAAGTTTTGCAAATCAGGCAGGGTTTTCACACACCTTAGTGCGAGGGGAGAGGTGTGGAATCCTCTGAGGGTAACACAGTGCCCTTGTTTTGCTCAGTTCAGTGAATGTCCTTGGATCTCGCTCTTTTGTGGAACCAACAGCTCTCAATCTTTCCCAGAACTTTTTCCAAGGTGGGTTAGATGGGTCCCCTAATCACTTTCTCATCAGTTTTGTTCATTCTTTTCTTATTATAATAGTGTTAATGTAGCAAAGGAACCACGTTGCCAGGGTAACAAGAGTGGAGAATGGGCATTGTTGCCTCTGCAGGAAGCTAAACTCTTCTGGAGTAGACCTCTACTGTAAACCACAATAGGACAACCTCACACTTCGGTGTGAGCAGCCTGTTCTCTCTCCTTTGAAAGTCTCCTTGCACTCTTTCACCCAGTCCCCAGGTACACCTGTCTGGTCTATTTGTGTTTGAACTTGCTCTTTCCACACCTGATGTGTAACATGATGCTTGCTTTGGTGAGCTGGGTTTCCCCAGCTTTTCCTTACCACACACTCGCTGTTCTGCTCAGAATCAGCACTCGCAGTGCACCGAGTCTCAGAGCCAGCGGCTCCCGTTCTCCTCACAGCACTGTGTGCTGCCTTTGCAGGAGCCCACCTGTAGCAACCTGTGCTTAGGTTACCTCTCTGCCCTGGGGGACAGGTTGGGCTGCCCAGAGTGCACAGCGGGAGACCAGAAAACCAACACAACACAGCTCTTACAGCTGTTTCACTTTTTATATAGCTTCCTTCTGTAGCTATACTTCTACTTCAAAATAATTTCATTGAAAGAAAAAACAAACTTAACTTCCATGAGCTACTCACCAAGGAGAGGAGTGGCATTTAATAATCTATAAAATGCAAATTATTATTTATATAGAAAATAATCAGGATACAGATGAAGTTTCATGGATTTAGTGTTTATCTAATATTTGGAACTTGTTCATATTTATTTCATTGCCCCTTTTTCCTTGATTTGAATCATACAAGTTTACTATGAGTAGGAAAAAGTCTCACAGTTATTTTCTTAGCTTATTTCCCCCTTGAGATACTGAGATTACTAGGAAATAAACCCTTATGTTCTCTTAGGATGTATTCTCTAAAAATCCTCAGTAATATTCTGTAAGTGAATTTTTCATGGACACGTTGTAGCTAAATTGCAAACAGGTGTCTTTTTCAAAGCAGCTTTCTACCTTGGCACTTCCCAAGGAGGATCACAGTTATTTTCTCCTCAATCTGAGGGAAATAATTTTAAACCTTTGGACTGGTAATTTTTCTTTGATGTTTCAATGTCCCTTGTTTTGTCATTGGGGAAAAGAAGCAGATAGTGAATTTGGAAACCTCAGTGCCTAGAGACATTTTCAATAGGGACTGATGTTAGTGTAAAACAGAAAAGTAAAAAAAAAAAAAAACAAAAACTGGAGAAGGCAAGAAACTGAACAGGTAAACAGGAAAACAAATAAACACACTGGGAAGAAAGCAAAAAATATGGTGCAATGAATATAATAAACAAGCACAACTTGTGGAATGGGATCAAAACCACATTTAATATACAACCTCCCTGTCCATTTAATTTTGTCACTGGAGCCAACTTTTTACTTGCAGCTGGATGAGAGCTGGCAGGCTATAGCCTTTCTGCTCAATTTTAGACCATTCAAATTGCCATCACCATCAGTCACAAGGCACAGCCTTATTTTAGTACAATGGATGCACAGTCCTGGGTAGTAAAAGTTCACACATCCAACTTCAGCAAAAATGAGCTTTCAGGGAGACTCCGTTGTCCGGGTGTCACCTGGCTGTCTGCAGTTTGAAAATCAAGCTGCCCACTCTCTGGGCTTGGCTGACGTACAAAGCGAGTCCTTCCTATGGGCAGGGCACTTTTATGGTTTCTTTGGTGATTCATTTCTAGCCCATCCACTTTGCTGAGGGCCCCAATTTTGGCACCCTCTTCTCTTACAGTTTGCGGTTGTCTGAGTTTGATCAGAGAAGCAAAATTGCTCAGGGAGACAGGGAGTAAGTGATTTATTGCAGGCGTACAAGCACTGCAGGAGCTGGTAAAACAGTTGTTTGCTGTGAATCTGAAGATGAACCATAGTCAGTTGAACTAGCAGCCAGAAAGGAAACAAAAATCTCCATGAGTACAAACAGAAACTGGACCTTACATAGACAAACTGGGACCCTCAGGACCAGCTATAACCCATTTCAGAATCCTATTATCTGCCACTCTGTTGTTATTAGAAACCTGTAGGGGAAAAGTGAACTTAGCTATTTTTCTTGTTGCTGAAACAAAGTACCCAGCACTCACAAGTTAAAGGAGGAAAAGTTTATTTTACCTCAGATTTGTAAAATTTTCAGTCCGTAATCGGCAGGGTGGTATGGAAGAGGAGAAACAGTCCCTTGCATGGTAGGCAGGAAGCAAAGCCTTCCTTTTCATTCCATCCAGGTTACAGTCCTCTTCAGGGGTGCCACTCACCCAGGGGGGGTCTTCTGTCTTCCCTAAATGCATTCAGTAAAGCCACACCCACTAAGCTATTCCAATTAGGGGACTAATTTATTATTTAGTTAGTTAAAGAGTACGAAGAATTTATTGAGGGACAGAAAGCTTCTGTCTAAGAGAGAGAGATGGGGCCCTGCAAAGTGGGTTGCCGGCCCTCCCCACTTTTCAAAGATGTTCTATATGGAAAAGCCATGTGATATGTGATAGGGTGGGTACAAAGTGGGACAAAACTATAAGACCCAGTGAAAAACTACAAGGTGGGCATGAGATGGGACAAAACCATGGCCAACCAATAAGATTACAGCTACAGTCTCCCAGGTAATATTGATTAAACGGGGGTCAAATTGGGGAGCAAGTCACATAGCAAGCATATAAGGATTTTCAGTAAGGGTGAAGGTCTGGGATATTTCCTGGAAAGGCTGGGTTAAGGCCTTGTTCCCTCACCCAGGTGATTGATACCTATTTAGAATAACAATCACTGCTGTTTATCAAGATGTAATTCTTTTTTTTTTTTTTTCTTGCCAGGCAGGCAGCAGAACCACTGAGCTAAATCCCTGGCCTATGGGACTAATTTACTTATCATGCTTTTAATTCAGTTATCACACCCATGATCCAATTATCATAACTATGATCCAAACACTCCCCAAAACCCCCCTACCTAGGAGCACATGAGGCTTTGGGGGACATTTTAGATGTAAACCATAACACACACACACACATACACACACACACACACACTCACCGCCACAGATCTGGATCAGCAGAAGATCTGAAGGGATGAGGTGAATTTATGGTCCAATCATGGCAATATACTAACTAGATGAGTCGGTAAAAGCCAGTAAACCTGCAACTATGACTGCAACGTGCCTGGTCCCTTCATAAACTCACAGAGCTTGATGGTTAAACTGTATTTCCAACTTCCATGTGTCTCACAAAGTTTTCCTAGGGTAAAAGGTAGTACGAAACCATACAGGGGAGAGAATTCCCAGCCAGGTAGCTTGAATCGGTGATCAGTGTAACCACCACCACACACAGAGCTCAGTTTTGTCAGATGCATTTAGGAATCCTAGGAGAATTTTTCCCCCCTCTTACTTACTCAAGCACCAAATGGCAAAGTTATTGCACATGGTCTTAGATGACCTCTCTCTTTCTTGATACTTCAGGCCTTTCCTTTCTCTTTTTCCTCTTTGCCCTTTTTCTACAACCTCCTCTGCCCCCTCTACAACCTCCTCCTCTTCCTTCTCTGCACCCACAAAGTACTTAGGAACATGTAATACATCTGAAAATGGCCAGAAGGACTTGGAAATCTAGGTGTTTTCCTCTGCTTTATTTTTGCTTACAACCCTGCATTGCTGCACCCGCCTTGCATCCAGCAATAAATCTCAGATGCTATGGAAAGCCTCACTGGAGTTTTCCTTGTTCTGCTTGTGGGGAAAGGTAACATCCCTGTGCCCAGAGCAGCTAGAAAAGGCCTTTCCTCTAAGTCTTCATCCCTAAGAACCCTGGGGTGTGTGTGTGCATGTGTGTGTGGTTATGAATGATGTAATCACTTTTATAACATTTCTCATGTAAATTTTGTTTGAAATTTTATATCTTAGCATTTCAGTGATGGCTTCCAACTCAGCTTCCCCTTTAAAAGAAAACAATACAATGTTTTATATCTAAAAATATCTGTGCTTCCTTACCCGAGGTATAAAATGACCATCTCTCTAGGCTTAGAGGCAGTATGGAGTGATGGCTTATAGGCAACTTTTGCTTTCCTATGAGTATGCTGAGTCTTCTGTTAATGATTTATGTTTCATTTCTACAGGGTGATGGCGATGGTAACATTTAAAACATTAACTATCAGTCCTCTTAGGATTCAAAACCATTGCAGACACCCCTTTCACCGTCCCACTTGTACTTTTAAAACAGGTTTTATAGCAGCTCTGCCTTCTGCATCCTCTTTCGTGACAGCATCATCATGCAGTCATTCAATAAAACTAATTGAAGACTCAACTCCGGCTTCAGAACCATAACAACGGCCTGCTCTCTCTTCACTGCTGATGATCTAATCATTAAAATGAAACCTACTACTGAGCATATTTATTTTTGTTCCTCTGGAAAGAGCTGTATGTTTAAATTCTTTAAAAGTTGTTGGCATATGACTGATCGGTGGAACTGGCCACCAGCAGGGCCCTCAGCCGCATGGGGGACACAGGAGGCCAGGTAGCAAGGAGGCCGGTCAATAGCTTCCTTCAGTTGGAGAAGCCAAGAATGGTGGGGCTATATTTTGTGATATATTTTAACATATCGTTATAGAACACTTAATCACAATAGAATATTTGGGCAATATAGAAAAGAAAAAATAAAAGGAGAGTTTTCAATAAGACTTACATAGCAACTTAGCAATCCATGTCTTTGGTTGATAGGACAAAAGACTCATAGGACTGAGTACACAGGAAAGGCCAGGGGCTTTTTCCCTTTGAGAAGTTTTTGAAATGTTATCTATCAAATTTTGATTCATAAATACTTCTCATTTCCTGAAGAAAGCTTATTGAATTGTGGAATATCATCAGGAAATTTTTAAATAATTCGGTTATTTTATCATGACATGTACTAAAGTGGACTTACTTATCTATGTATCATTACAGTATTAAAAACTGGCATGTGAAAAGCACTCCAGTGCACTGGGTAATACTACTTATACATGCACAAGTGGCAAACAAGTTATTTGGTTCTTCTAATTATACGAGTTAAAAGTGGATTGATGAAAATTAACTTTTAAATTGAATTTCAGGATTAATTTAAGTCCAAAGTTAATACTACAAATATAGATTGCATTTTGCTGGGAAGAAACAAATGCCTGAGTTTGAATATCAATGGCTGCCTCTCTCAATCATGGGATTTCGAATGCATGCATGGGAGTAGGAGCATCACCTCATTATGTAATAGTTTAAAAACAAATAAGGTTAATATGTGCAAAGAACTTACAATAAAATCTGGAGTTTGTGCAGATTTATAAATATCAGTGTTGTGGTTTCCATACGCACACCATCGCACATATATTAATATTTAAATAGGCATGCAACCTCAAAACTTTAAAAATACAGAAGAATAACATAATAACTTCAGAGTAGAAAAATATTTCCTAACTAAACATAGAATACTCACAAAGGAAAAAACAGTTTGTATTAGGTAATAATTTGTATATAAAGCGACCATATATGTAATTAAAATAAGGTACAGGTAGGGAAAGAAGCATTATGGTATAAAAGAGCATGTTCACATTAATAAGCCTAATACAAAGCCCCCCAGAAGACAGCATGAATTATAGTCAAATATGAAAAGATGATCAATCTTATTTCAGCTTCTTAGAGTTAGGCAAATGCAAATTAAAAGAAGATAATTTTTCATACATATCACAGTGAATAAAATTAAAAGACTAATATTACAAGTGAAGTAGTGAAAATTAGATAACTCGCATGCACTACTGATGAATAGCAAAATTAACAAAAGTGTACAATGTACTGCACTGCACAGCAATTTCTCCACAAGGTTTATTCTGAAGAGCTTTCAGGCATGTGCTCCAGAAGAGAAATATATGGGTATTGATCGCAGTACTGTTTGTAATTAGGAATACTTGGAAACACGTTATACATCCATTAATACGACAAGGGCTAAATAAATTGAGGAATATTAAGCCAATGAACTATCCTAGAGTTAGACTTAATGAGTTGTAGCTACAGATCAAAATGCACTCTTAAGAATGCACACGTACAGAGTACAAACACGTGTGTCACAATGATGCTCGCTAGCAAATCTGTTATCTGTAATGAAGGAGATGAGGAATGTATTTATAGTGGGGTCAATGGGTGGCCTTACTTTAGTTGTTAGTGTTAAAAATATGTGACCCAAGTGCACATGTATTATACTTATAAGTTTAATACAGTTTAACAGATGTTGTGCAAGTGTTCACTTCTTTAAGTTCTCCTTGGTTCCAAGAGTCAGATTACTCTGTGCATGTATTGTGTGCTTTATTTTACTGAGAAAAGAAACTAGGATGCATCAACATTCTCTTTCCAAGAGCTCCTCTTCAAATGGTGTGGCCTGTTTGAGTGGCATGCATTCCAAATAAATGAAAATCCATGTTCTATTAATATAATTATGATGACTACAGTCTCTTTAAAAAATGTTTATGACACTGTCAACATCTCCTTGTATTATAAAAGCAGAAGACCAAAAATATTACAGCTTTTAGGTCTCTACTGATTTTCTTGTACTTCAACCTCAACTCCTTTCAGAATTCCAGCTTTTGTAGTTTTTGATCTTTTTGGTATTTATGGGTGCAACTAGTGAATAAGAAATAACAAAAACAATTTAGGATTTTGAAAGATACACAGAGCGGTGGTATATGCTGTAATCCCAGCACACTGAGAGGCTGAGGCAGGAGAACTGCAATTCAAACTCAGCCTGGGCAGTTTAACAGTGTAGCAACTTCCTGAGATTCTGACTCAAAACAAACAAAAATTAAATTAAAAAAGGGAGGGATGTAGCTCAGTGTGAGGGATATGGGTTTAATAACTCCCAGTACCACAAAAAAATTGTGAAAGACATAACCATCATGTGCTAACACCTGAAAGCCTGAGGCATGAGCACACTCGTTCTATCTCCACAAATATTTTATATGCATTATGAATCTAGGGGAAAGAGTAATATCATGGAAACTATTCACAGATACGTTTTCAAAATAGAAGCCTAAAATATCAGTGCACACTTATCATCAACTGACACCACCACCTTCCTACCAGCTCTGCAGTCAGCTCTGTATAACTTTCAGTGAGCCCTGGTTGGGAAATACATTTACAAAAAACAACATGTTAATGTTTATATAGCGTTACAGCATAATAGCAAACATTACCTACTTAAGGTTTACATACACACAGCATTATTTGAGAGGTTTAGTCGAGTTATATTTGTTTAATTTAACAGCAAAAGAAGAGGATAAGAGTTTCTTAGCAAAAGAATAGAATAGCGTTGGAGACCTGAATCACCGCAAGTGATTAAATGCACTGAGTTAGCGGAGTGCAAGCAATGCTAGGCATCTAAGTATCCTGAGACATATATACTCAAAAGCGATATCACTGGTAGATGAAAATTTAGTGGGCATTTACGTTTTTAGTTTGACAAGTTAGAATAGTGTTGAATGGAGGGTGGGTGGAGTTGAGACAACTTGTGATATGAAGACGTTGATCTGGTAGGCTGTAACGCTCCTCTGTGCCTTCATAGATGATAGAAGTCAGATGTAGGCCGAAAGCTCATTATGGACTAAATGGCAGTGGACAGAACACAGAGTTTTAGTACAAAGACAGTTTCACTCAGAGAAAAAAATGCTTCAGTCTGGTTATATGCCTTGAGATGTTCCTAGAAAATAAAATTTCTGAAATATGACTATTAACTACCGAAGGAATGTGATGATGTAGCAAATCTGCATCAATGAAGTATCCAGTAGAAGAAGTCTCCAGAATGTGCATATCCTGAGGGAAAGCAAAGACAGTGGGCAGCAAAGATGTTCCCAGTAGAGCGAATGGTTTGTATCATTATTTCATTTGTTTTGAGCATAAACTTGCAAAGTATATAATGCCAGTAGCTTTCAGTGTCACCAAAGCATTGACTTCCTGAACTGACTTTTTTCAGAAGTAATCGTATGAGTTTCAGAACAAATTTAGACTGCGAGAATATAAATAACAAAATTAGCACATCATTATATAATGATTATTTGAATGATCATTCTATAATTATATTTATCTCATAACCATATCACACTTTAGATTACATTACTAGGCTCATTTTCCAAGTGTAAAAATTTAGTAGAAAGACTAAGTAATTTCCCAAGGTCACACAGCTTTATTTATTGCTTCTAACCTCACATCATTTTTTGTTCTTTCTCTAATGTCATCCGGCACCACTCCATTGACTTTCCAATGTGTCCTGGTACATCTGAGATGTCTTGTAACCTTTAAAGGACTAATAGGAAGGTCTGCTGGATCCACTGTATCCTTACATATGAATTTCTGTAATATTCACAGTCATTTACAGACTACCAATAATTCTAGTAGAGAAAAAGAAGAAAATCTTAGTTACTATTTTCTTGAGGTCAAGGAAGAAAAAAGCAATAAAACAAAAATTGGGCAAGAAATTTAATATCAATGCTTTTGATTTTAAGAAATAAATATTCATGGTTATGGAAGTGAGCAAAAATGTTTATCAGTTATCACATTGTTAGGATTAATACGTAGATCTCTTTTCAGTTATTCAGGTTTTTTAGCTGGCTTCTTGTGCGCTGATGCTAAGTCCAATATTTCAAATTAGAAGTTTATATTCTCACATTTTTCCCCTGTAAAATGATAAACACAGCTATCAAGCATACATCTGAAAGCACATTTTAGATTATATTATGTTCTATTAGAAATGCTAGGTACTTCAGTGGTAGTGCTAATAACTAAGGAGTACTGGTGTAGGTCAGCTTCAATATAATCACATGTTGACTGTTCACAAACGACTGAATATAATTAAGCTGATCGACAATCTGATTCTGTCAGAAAAATAATAATGTTTGTGTGTCCTGTCTGCATACACAGGCATGTGCACGCTCACACACACACACACACACACACCTGTTAAATCAGTGCCAGTAAGCAAAATCCCTTCAAAGTTTCCATAGGCACCATGGGTCTCATTCTAAATCATTGTGGAATTATCTTTTCATTCTGCTTTTATTCCTTACTTCTCTATAGTGTATGCTTCTGAAAAGTTGATAGAAATGATGCTATTTTTGTTCAGGTATTTTTATGGATCTACTTGATAGGTGATGAGAGCTGTTACAAAAGAAGCAAACTACTATATTTACATGAAGTTGCAGACATCAGGAATTTAGTTAACACACTTTATGTTTGGTTCTCACTTTTTTTTTTTTTAAGAAAGGGTCTCACTATGTAGTTGAGACTGAACTGGAACTCACTGTGTAGCCCAGGCTGGTCTCAAACTCACAGAGA